CTTTGTTGAGAGCGGTCTGTTTGCAGGGTATTTCCCTGCGTCTTTCGAGATGCGGAATTTCACATCAAACAAGGGGGTCTGGGTTTCAATGGACTTTTGGTCCTTCTTCCCTTTCTCCTTGTTTTCCTTGGGTACTTTGGTGTATTTCCCCAAGGCATCTTTTCTTAGTGCTTCCACCAAGGCTTTGGTGACTTTTTCGTCTGCCATGTTTTCTAACTGGCGTGCTACAGCCAGTTTGATTTTGTAATTTATGTCGTCGTGATTGACGACTGACATTGGGCCCATCCTTATGGTCCCAATGTTGACTTCCTCACCCTCTGCGTCGGGTGAGTATTGAGGTCCTTCATATGGGTCCTCTACTTCGAAGCTTGATGCTCTGGAGTTATCAGAGTTGTTCTCTGGTTTCTCGTCTGATGAGTCTTCTGACTCTTCTTCTGTTGTGGTCGCGATCTCCATGGTGGCTATGTGCCTTGGTTTTTCATCGCTCGTTACATTGTGTCTTGGGCAATCTTTCGTTTGCCCTATTTTGCCGCATTTGCCGCAAATTGGAACTGACTTTTGGTCAGTTTTCCTCGAGTTTTTCGAGGATGTATCCTCTTTCCATCTGGGTTTCAGCTCTTCAGCCTTCTTTCCTGATGGGAGGGCTCTACCGCGGCTCGTGGTTGCCGTGGTAGTTGTTCGGGTATAGTATCCTGATTTGTAGGCTGAAGACATCTTCAGCCCATCAATTATCTCGTCTACACGAGATATTGCTTTTAACATCTCCTCGTTTGAGGAGAAGTCTGCTCTGATTCTATCATGAGCGATCATTTCCCTCTTCCATTCGAGGGGAATGTAGTTTAGGAACCTGGTGTTGAAGGATGCCTGGTCTGGCGGCGTCACCATCTGGGACGCTGCTTTAGACAGTTCTAAGTAGAACTGTTTTAGGCCTTTTTCCGCTTCATATTTGACGTTGCGGTACTTCTTTGTCGCGTTCAACGTGGCAGAGGCTTTAATGAAAGTTCTCATCAATATGTTGAGAACTTTGAGGAACATGCCCTCGTCTCCTCTGAGGAGAGTTTCGTCTCGGAGTCTTATTCCGAGGTCAAACGCGGGTCCCCCTAATCCACGAATCAAGCAGTCCAGATGGACTTTGTTGAATTGGGGACCTTTGCATCCTCACGAAGCGAGGAATCCCAGTAGTTCTGTGAACCACTGCCAGAACGATTCCATGTCGTTCTCCCCTGACCATTTCTTGTCAGGGAATGCTGGCCCATTTTTTAGGGCTTCAGGCTTCGCTCCTTCTGGGTAGGGAGTGAGTATTCTCACTTCGGCCATTCTTATGGCTTTTTCGTACCATTTCTCCAGGTACTCCTCTTGCTCCCCTGCCTTCGTGGGGTCGCTATCCAATGAAGATCTCTCCTTTGGGGGGGTTTTCGCTGGGGGAAATCTTCCTTGCAGCGTTTCTTTGGTTTCAGGCGAATTTGCCTGAAGTTGTATTTGGATTCTCTCATTGTTTTGAGAGAGTGTGGTTGAGTTACCTCTCTGTTCGAGAGGTCCATCGTAAGTGGACGTTTGGCCGAACCTTTGGTACATGCCAATTCTCCTCCTAATTTCTGAACAATGCCTTCTTTCGGCATCGTCTTCTCCTATCCTTGGGAGAAGGATCTCCTTAGTGTCTCTGTCGAGTTGCTGATGATATTCCAGTGTGCTTTCACTGGTGGTTCTTTTCATGAATTTTTCACGAGTTTTATTTATGTCCTGGCCCGTGGTCCAGGGGTGTTTATTTGTTTCCTCACTTTTTTGTGAGAAGTTTATCTCCTTCAGCAAGTCCGTCTGTTCGCTGATTTTTTCAGTCAACATGTTGATTGTGTTGGCCATTCTTTCTAGAGTTATCTCTAGACGAGCCGTACTATTGTGGTTCATTTCCTCAATCTTTTTTTGGATTGAGTTTATTGCATTTATTATGCGTGATTCCTGGTTTTCCAGGAGGAAGTTTGGTTGGGCGAGCAGTGACTCTCCCCAGTTGACATTGCCGCTTCTGGGGGTTCCAGAAGGGGTTCTTGGAGTGAACACTCCATGCTTGCTTTGTTTAGGTGAGGCCGTTGCGGAGGGTGCTTCCCTTTCATAGAGGGGTCTGTTTGCTGGTTTTTCCTTACTTTTCCGTAAGGCTTCCTCAGCGGACTCCCTCATTTCAGATTGCCTCCTCTTCATTATCTCGGAGACCTCCTCCGAGGTTGGTGACCTTGCCTTGTCTGGCATGGCATGGGGTAGTGTAAACAGCGGAAGTTCTTTTGGAGCTTCTGCGCTCTGGGAGATCCTGCTCTCAGGGCATTTTTTCACGCCTTCTCGGGCTTCCAGCCTGAGAAGAAGTTGGTCTTCGTTTTCCATCCTCCATTCAGATGGAACCTGGAACAAGTCCAGTAGTTTTTCGGATAGCTGACATGGAGGCTCTTCCCTCTGTTTCCCTTTGTCTGCCTTTGGGGCTTGACTTGGGGACATGGGGGAGGACTCCAGGGGATAATGGGGCCCTGGAGTTTCCTGCGACTCTATCCAATCAGCTTTTCAGGCTGATCATTTGGCACTTACACATTTATTGCACAAGTCGATCACCTCCTGAGGAGGTGAGGGATCTTCCCCAGCTTGGGTTAGATCGGTATGATGTAGAGTTCTAGGGGTATTGGGCCCTGCACTTACTCCACATAAGTTTCTAAAACCTTCAGGGGCCAGCCCTGAGGTGGTTGCTGTTTTTGGATCATGTTGATCCTTGTCATCATCTGATGACGGCTGCTGATTTGAATCTCCCATGATGGGAGATTGCGGTTTCTTGATGAACCACTCGTTTCTTTTTATCGTCGCTGCAGACATGACCTTGCCCTTGTGGGCGTGTTTAGGCACCATTGGCACTACCAAGTCAAGATGTTAAGATTGATAAGTTTTTTAGTGGGTTGTGTTGTAAAACACACCTCATACACTTAAAAAAGTGTGAGGTCTCAGTGGGTAGCTGTCAGGGCGTGGGAAAACGTTACCGTGACTCGCTGTCGGCGACCGTTAAGGTCCGCTACTTCGGCGTAACAGCCCGTCAAGGGCGGGGATGACAATCGCAGCGGAACGGGGTTTCGGCTTCAACGACTCGTTCGTGAGCGTTGTGCCTCGTACTTGACGTGGCCCCGATATTTCAGGAGGCAGGAGGTGCGACTGGGTCAGACAGAGGGTGCAGGGGGTAACCCTAGTTGATTTTCGAACTAAAGTACGAGGTAGTGTACAACCGGTATTTAAGTATAACGGAATGAATGGAATTAAGTCGCCAGATCTCACGGAGATTGCAGGTGGGGTTAAGAAGAAACGAAAACAAACAAAGAGTGTGGGAGAAGGACAGCCATGTACAGCTGTCAAGGAAACAAGCGTGGTAGAGAAAGACTCGTAGGCCTGTGATGGGCCATGGAAACAGGTAGTGGTGACGGGGAAGGGTGACGGGCTTGTTCAGGCGGCGTCGGGCAGGCAGCGGGGTTGACGGGGTCAAAGCAGGGGAGGGAGAAGGTGTGGGGAGTGATCACCTGACCGTGGGAATTGCCGGGTCGTGACAGTAGCTCAGCACACAGAGCCATAAGTGATACAATGGTGTGTATTTTACGGTGGTGTGTAAGCAGTTAACTGGAGGTTACCGCTTACCCTCGTGACTATATGTATCTTTAATTACATATGGCTCAGGGTTCGGGGCTATTGCCCTGACAATGACCCCCCTTCTTCCTCACATTCGTAGTGCAGACGTGTCCAACACTGAGCACCCCACATAGGTGCTACACCACTGGATGTGCCGTGCATTCTGTCAGGGACTCGTCCGGGGTCGAGGGGGTCCGGGTATAGCGTCCGGGACCGAGAGCCTGGCGGGGGGCGGATCGGGCGTGCGTACTGACAGGCCCGATGTGGGACAGTAGTCCCTGGCCACTTAGACTGAAGTGGAAAGTTGAGAAGAAGGCTACTTCTTCGGTTCCCACTTCAGGTTCGTTTATATACATGCGGCTTGGATCACATGACGGATGCCACGTCACCCTCGCACACAGCCGTAACCACCCGGGTGTCTCCGTGGGAGATCCCGAGGGTATCCGGTGCAGGCGCGCGTGCTGGGCACAGCGGGAAGTCGCCCGAGGTGCCCGGGCCGGGTACATGGTGGGCGCGCTGCAGATGGGTCAGTTGTACATTGATACAGGGAAAGTCGTCCATGTAGAATAAAGAGAGAATAAAGGGGAAGTAAGATAAGGAGAAACTGAGGAGGGGAGGATGAGGGGGAAGAAGGGAAAGGGGGAGGGGGTAAGGAAGGGTGGACTGGCGGGGTACCGGGTCAGGTTGGGCCGGGCGGAGCCGGGTCAGGCAGGTGTGCCCTGACACATTCCTACTTGTATATCTCTCTTCTAATATTCAGGATCGCCTGTGAAACTGCCTGCAATAGCCCAGCTCCACCCAAGGCTGACTGGCACTCCCCACATGACCTGTTTCCACCTGTATATAAACTGAGCTGAAGCAGAACCAAAGAAGCAACCTTCTTCTTACTTCTGCTTCAGTCTAAGATACTCCGCTCCGCTTCCTGCAAATACCTTTGAACACTGTTTCTGACAAACCCACAGTAACATCCCCCACACTGTTATGAGCCTCACAGAGCTAGAACTTAGGATCAAGTGAGGTGGAAGCAAGAGAGCTCAGATCATGAGAACAAGACTAAGAACACAAGTCAATTTGAGGCAAGTAACCTGCATTGACCAGTTGAGGGACTACTCCTTACTCAACCGCATTATATACACAAACTACTAAGCTGGTTGTCGGGCGGAATGCAACAATGGGCGAGACTTCTGATTTGGGTGAGATGCTTGGACCCGAACTAATTCCATCGGTGTTATGTTGAACCGTAACAGCACGCGACTCGCACAGCCTCTTCGGATATTTCCGAAATGGATCACCTGGCTCTCCATCGGTTCCACGTGAGTGGGGGAATCTGATAGACACTCTCTGCGCAGGCAACCATCATGCCTCGCGATGGTCATGTAACTGCAGTTCTTGGGAATGAGTTACACAAGTCATTGTCTGAAACACGTGTCCTTATCGTCGGCGCCGGCGGAATTGGATGCGAGCTCGGTATAGTGTTAGATCTTGTTCCAATATGTTCTTTCCTACTCAAATGCGTTTACAGTGAAGAATGTTGTGCTCTCAGGGTTTCGAGATATCACCCTTCTCGATTTGGACACCATTGATCTCTCAAACTTGAACAGGCAATTTTTGTTTCGTCAGAAAGATGTTAAAAGTCCCAAGGCGCTGGTAGGTGTACTGTTCTGTAATTAATACGTGGAGCTGAGGATTGAGCAGGTAGCAGCGCAAACAGCGTCCATGTTCAACCCGGGTGCCAAGATACTCCCTATTTGTGGAAACATCAAAGACTCACAGTATGACCTGACATGGTTCAAAGCGTTTCATGTTGTTATGAATGCACTGGACAACATTGGTGAGCAGATATTCCATTTCCTGGCTTTGCCGGGTCTTGAAGCACAGTGGCTAGATGCGCGTCGCCACGTCAATCGCATGTGCATCGCTGCGGGAATCCCTTTAATTGAGTCCGGAACAGCGGGCTATCTTGGCCAAGTTCAGCCGCTGATGAAGGTGTGCAGCCAGCTGCCTAGTACACGTCGAACAATTTTCTGACTTTGCAAGTGCAGGAGAAAACCGAATGCTTCGATTGTATCCCGAAACCAACACCGAAAAGTTTCCCTGTTTGTACCATCCGTTCTACTCCAAGTACACCAATACATTGCATCGTGTGGGCGAAATCGTATCTATTCCCGTAGGCCCATCATGAGTCACTGTTGTCGTTCAGCTTCTCTTATTGACCTTGATCGCTCTAGACAATTATTTGGAGAGATTGAGGAAGATACGTCTGAACTAGACGCCGCCCTTGCTGCAGGCGAAAATGGTGCGTGGGCATTAGAGGAATATGCGCGCCTTATATTGATGGATAACCCAGCAACCGAAATTGCCCAGTTACGGGAAGAGGTAGCCTCATTCCAAACTGTTAGGAGCACCATTGTCTCATCTGGTGCTGTAGACAATGCGGCCAAACTGGCGTTTGACAAGGTCTGGCTTCAGTTTTCCGACAATGCAATACGGGATGCCGATGATGCCTCCCATGCCAGGTTTTTCGTCAAGACATTGAACGACTGTTGGCCATGCATGACATGTGGAAGCATCGCAGACCTCCAGTGGCCCTAGACCACGATGCAATCCTCACTGATACTGCTGGTTCCTCTATCGGTGTCACACATCGTGATGACTTGCAACTGAATTCGGGGATCACCACGCTCAAAGACCAGCGACAATTGAGTCTATTGGACAATGTGAAATTGTTTGATCGCAGGTGCTTTCATTGTGAATGTCATACTCGAGTCGAAAAATATTGATGTGCAGCCTAGTCTTTGGAACCTCGCACAACGACTTCGTGCTGGCCAACATAGAACTGCTCTGAGCTTTGACAAAGATGATGACGACTCACTTGACTTCGTCACTGCAACAGCCAACCTCAGAGCGTGGGCGTATGGAATACCCACCTTAACCCGATGGCAAGTTAAGGGTCAGTAGTCTTGGTTCCACTTCATCTCTTCAATGTTGCCTCCTCTCATGCTCAATCCATAGAAATGGCCGGAAATATCATTCCAGCTATTGCAACAACTAATGCTATCATAGCTGGTTTAGTCGTTCTGCAAGCTTTCCATCTTTTGCGTGCGTTCCCTGTAAATCCGCCCGTGATACAGGGACCGCCCCGAACGCCCCAAGGGTTATCAGGACATGCGTATGGAAGCGAGCCATTTGCTGCGCGCAATGTCTTCATTCAAAGCGGTCGACCCGCCTCTCCTCTTGGAGCGTTCGTAACGATGTCTCCCAACCCACAGTGCGCCGTGTGTCGTGATACGTACTTGGCCGTTCCCTGTGATGTAGATCGTGTTACACTAGGCGAATTGGTGAACGCGCTCTTAGACGCAGAGGCATCGTCTTGGGGAGAGGAACCACGGGAGGTTAGCGTGTTTGAAGAGGGTCGAGTCTTGAGTGAGCCTGACTGGACCGACAACCATACTCGTAGTCTTGCAGACCTTAATTGCGGGTACGGGAAATTTGTCACGCTCGTCGACGAAGAAGAGAAGCTGGGGAACGTGGTTCTTGCTATCTCAAGGTTCCCGTGAGTCAGCCTGTGAAGATATCCAAATCTCTGCTTACGTGTACCTACAGCCCAAACCATTCAACAAAGGAGGTCAATTTCATTCTTCCACCCTGCACCTTACCTCCTCCAAGGCAGGGTTTGCCGCCTCCACTCCCGTCCCCTGTCTTTTCTCCCGTCAAACCCATTTCGAGTCCATCCAAGAGTACAACTATAAAACGCTCGGCGTCTGACGTGAATGGAGATGGTGCCCAGGCCGTTCATTCTGCGAAGAAATTCAAGACACACCATGCGAATGATTTTTCGGATGGTGAGATTGAGGTATTGGAGCCAATGAGTTCTGATCGGCGGCATCATGCGACTGTGGAAGACCGAATACTCGAAGACGAGGGATTGTTGCTTGTTGATGAGCCAATGGATTTCTGATGCCACCTTTTCTCCCCTTACAATACGCTATGTATATTTCGGGGCAATAATATCTCAATGCCTATCTCCATCATAAAGGAGTCCTGCTAGGCCGTAGCGTACAATGTAGGCAATCAAACTTCCAGTGATCTGGAGTAGAACACACATCTTCGTCAATTCAGCCTCTGTGATAGGGCCTGTCCGAATTAAAATGATGTTTAATAATGTCAAGTTGGTGGTAGATGTGATATTGCGTGTCGATACATCTCTTGTCACCCTGGCGAACCCAAGCACAGAGAGTGTCTCCAGGATCCTTGTCGCCAATGCTGATGGGGAGCCTTTGAAGACAGTTAGCGAGGGAAATAAGAAGGGAGGGTCCCGGAGACTATTAATTGGTAAGGGTTCATTCTGGTCTATAGGTTGATTAGAAAGGGCGCTTCTCATTTGCTGATCAGGGCCAACCAAGCTGAATAACGGTTTAGAAGTGAATGTAAGGGTTGTTTATTACTCTTTGTGGCAACAAACTCATACCTGGGCATGCGATGGCGGGGACAAGGCACCAATCCGAAAAGTTGGGGGCAACTCAGCAGAAAATTGAATATTTGGGGCAGGAAGAAGAGCAGCAGTGTTTTGCTGAAATGGCCTAAGATGCCTACCACCGCGAACGCCATACCACAGAAGTAGCAGAGCGTGTCACCGGGAAATGCTGTCGCAGGATACCTGAGTGGATGTTATGCGATTTAGGATTCGATGGCTGGCATTTACTTGGGCAACACACCAATTAAATCGGAGAAACCCTGCACACACGCCGATTAAAGGCAACATGAAATATAAGCTCAACAGATGACGCTCTACGAGGTCACGGCTTCCCCATGCCATCCCAGCGCCATAAATACCGCCAAAGGAAAATCCTTGTAGTTTGAAAGTGAAGGGTAAAGGAAGGTACAGAAGATCATTGAGGGCGACGGAGCAGGCAATCACTAGGGACTGAGATGCCTCAATTCCATTGATTCCTGCCAATATGTTGATAGAGTTGGTGCAGAAGGTTGAGAGAAGGGCCATGTAAACGTAGTACAAGGGTCCTGGGGTAATTGTTGAGCAAGAAGTCAGCGGTTCGGGAAAGCCACAAACCCAAATTCAAGATTGTTCTCCCGAATAACACCCTCAACTGTTTTGGGACAACTATGTGAGTGTTCCCCCTCTCTGCGTAGTAGACAAGGAGGAGTGGTATGGATGCGATGAGAGGAATAGGAAGTTTATATCTCCAGCGGATGTCAAAAACATCATCCAAAAAACCCAGAAGTGTTGCCGACAGCAAGGAAAGCAAAGCTGCAAGGAACACAGACAGCTAGAACAAGTCAACAGTAAGAGTGGGATTCGCTGCAATCAAACGAACCTGTTGTTGAGGAAATTCAGCCTGTCCAACCGCAGAAAGGGTGCTTTGAGCTGGTGCTTGCCGGCTGAAGAGGACGTCTGTGAAGACGAAGGGAATAAAGAGTATCATTAAAGCCACGTAAATCGAAGCACATATTACACCCATCGACTCTGGTCTGTCATAGGTTCAATATAAGGCATCAATTCGAAAGGCCACAACCTACAACTCATGCTGATTGAGTTTTAACCTGTCCCTTCCCCTCAAACCCCTTGCTTTGAATATAGGACTCAAAATAGGAATTAGCTTCAGCGAGCAAATTAATGCCAGTAAGCCATAGCCCAGCGATGCATAGAGTGTTGGGAGGACGAGGTTGTTTCTCCAAAAGGGGTATGCAATACACGACAAGGAAAGAGGGACGAGCGCCCCCTCGATGCTCCACCTACGCAACATACGTTTTGGAGTTGGTCTGCGTGGCGTTCAGTCTGATTCCCACACTCACGTGGAACTCGGCATGAGTTGTCGGAAAATCCCGTATATCGTTTAGGAAATGTTTCATGGCATTTTTTAAGGTAGGCGACATACAGAAGTTATGACTATTACGGTAAGTTCCGATCAGTTCATTTGTGTGGCTGTGACGGCAAAAATCCTTGGTGTCCATGTGACCTGGGGTTTTTTGTCTCATCTCTATATCTTGCAGCAGCTACACAAGCTACATGAGTTAATAGTGGGGCTTAAAATGCCTCCACCAAAGAGCTTTTTGTCGGCTCTGACCCAACCATTCCGTGGGCATGTGATTAGTGACCCCAATGAATTGTGGCTAGATTGAATTGACTTTCCATAAATGGAAGCTCACGTGCTCTCAGAGCGGCAAGAAGTTTCCAAAGTACTTGGATAGAAAATGGAAATTCAGTGAATGGAAACATATTGGAGGCTTAGTGAATTCACAGAAAAAAATCACATTTCATTTTGACCTGAGAGAAACCAAGGAGTTGTAGAATAGGTCCTCCTACACCACTTCCAGGATTTATTTAGTACCCTAGGGGTTGTGGTGAGGATGAGTGTTGATATGCATGAACAAACATATTTGCTTCTGGATAGTCATAACTTCTGTATGTTGCCTACCTTACAACAACCATCCAACAGCTGATGAAAATGATGTGGTGGTACTTTATGGATTATATGAGACACATTTGACAATTTCGATGATGTGGTAAGTGTAGAAAGGACCATATCTGAGGGCAGTGGAACAGAGTGACTATTGACTAATTATGAAAGTTGACATGGGCAAACCATGGCATCAGGAAACCTCCAAGGCTGATTTTAAAATTGAAAAGGAAAAAAGAGGGAAGATTCCCCATGAACATCTCTGTCAGGGCAATAGCCCTGAACCCTGAGTCTTATGTAACAAGGGTGTACTTAGAGTCATGTGGTTAAGTGGCAACTTCTGGTTACCACTTAACACTACTGTAAAATACACACCATTGTAACACTTATGGACTGGTGTGCTGAGCAACCCCAAAGACCTCACACTTTTTTAAGTGTATGAGGTGTGTTTAAAAATAAACACAAACCACAAACTCATACAACATCTTTGCCCTTCTGACTTGGTAGCACCCATGGCACCAAAACATGCCCACAAGGGCAAGGTCACCTCTGCAGCAACAATAAAAAAGAATGGAGATTCACAACAAAAGTCATTGTCAGATGAAAGACATGGGGAAATATCCTGTGAACAGACCGCTCTCTACTAAGAGAACGTTGACAGCCCACATCAAAATAGCAGGCATAAAAGCCTATGTGCTATTCAACAGTGGGGCAGAAACTGATGCAATATTGCCAGACTTTGTCCGTGCAGTCCACACCCCAATTCTCCAGTTGGAGAATCCAGTCATCCTCCAAATGGGGACAAAAGGAACAAGATCAAAAATCTTGCTTGGAACGAATGTGGACATTGAGATCAACAACCACGTTGAAAAACATTCCTTCAATGTTATCAACATTGACAGATATGATGCCATATTTGGTGCCCCCTGGTTGAATAAAAACCAGGTAAATTTAGACTTCCGATCTCACAAAGTGAGAATGGCATCCAAGGGCAACTGTCAGAGTCCGCGCGTCAGTTCGCGTGTAAGAATCTCCCCGGGAAACTAGTCGTTGTAAAAGCTGGGGGGCCAACCCAGCTGGCGATAAGGCCTTATATACATGAGTTCCGCAACTCATAAGAGCGCGGCTACACTGGGAACACATGGTAGCCGATAGAGAAGCGACATGAAATAGGAGAATAGATCATGTGGATAAGGGGGCGATAACGGGTGAGGGATGACGCGATAGCGGAAATAGCGCATTGAATACAGCCTGCGTTCTAACTACAGCATATCACATGCAGATATCGGCTTACGGGTACTCAACCTATCCGGATAGAGGTCCGGGCCGGCTGGATAACCGTCCGTGCCCTGACATCACCTCCTCTTCAAGGATTCGCGCCCCGGGAATCCACTAGTTTCTCAACGTGGCACTCCACCCGGGGGGAGTGGAGGGGCATCCGGATGACGTCCTCCTCGACGTGCGGTTTGCCTGGTACGGATCCGGTCTAGCTCCATAGCGTCCGGATCACGAGGGGTAGCCTGGCCCGGCTGCGACGTAGCGGGCCTAGAGGTGGGGGGAGGGGGGTCAGCGGATGGAGTCGATTGGCTGGCGGCCTGAGAGAGGAAAGAGGGTCCTGCAGGAGCCCTAGGGGTGCTCGCGGTGGCCTGCGGTGGCGGCGGTTGCGGCATATTGGCGGGAGCGGCTGGGGCAGGAGGAGGGAGAGAGGACTCGGCCGTTTGCTTGCGCTTACGACGAGGGGTACGGATACGTTTCTTAGCGATCCGGCGGCCGAGGGCGATGAGAGCATCCCCGATACACTTGGGTTCTCCTCTAAGCGTGACAGCACGCGATTCTCCAGGGCCTACGTGGGGGGACACGTTGACCTTCGCGTGGGAAAAGTCCTGGATCTGTTTCAATCCAGCGCCCACCCGCCCGATAACATGCCCAACAATGGCGTCCGGTATGCCAATTGTCATGGTGATACGGGGCGGAGGTGTAGTGGTGGTGGTACGGATCTCTGCGCGGGCGGGGCGCTTCCCTTGCGCCTTCGTAGAGCGGCTGGGGCCTCGTTGTCCCTGAGGGGTACGCACCTGAGAGGGTGCGGAAGGGGGATTACGAGGGGGGCGGGTCATAGGTTGTCGTTGGGACATGAGTGAAGCGAAGGAGTTGATGAAATCTGGATCGTCAGCAATCTGCCGGACCATAGCATCGAGCTGCTCCTTAGATAGTCGTGTCATGGACATGATAGGGAGGGGAGGAGTAGTGAGTAGGGTGATGTCGAGGGCTAGGAAAGTGCTGTCAACGTTGGGTAGCTTTTACAATCTGTCAGAGTCCGCGTGTCAGTTCGCGCATAAGAATCTCCCCGGGAAACTAGTCGTTGTAAAAGCTGGGGGGCCAACCCAGCTGGCGATAAGGCCTTATATACATGAGTTCCGCAACTCATAAGAGCGCGGCTACACTGGGAACACATGGTAGCCAATAGAGAAGCGACATGAAATAGGAGAATAGATCATGCGGATAAGGGGGCGATAACGGGTGAGGGATGACGCGATAGCGGAAATAGCGCATTGAATACAGCCTGCGTTCTAACTACGGCAAATCACACGCAGATATCGGCTTACGGGTACTCAACCTATCCGGATAGAGGTCCGGGCCGGCCGGATAACCGTCCGTGCCCTGACAGCAACATAGACACCCTTGGAGTCAGTGAAGACTGTGTGATGAGATTGCATGGGTGGAAAACTCGAGCAAGGACTTGAGAACTGCCAAGAAAAAAGCCCCAGGTTTAACCCTAATGTTCCTGATGTCAGCTCATCAGAGCCATCATTGAAGGGAGTCAGTGAATCTGGCTGCACCAGTTGATGTTCAGCATCATCCATGACCACCTCCTGAGCTTCAGCACAAGTCATGAAGCGTCCAGTATCCAGGTAGTAGAAAGTTTGGCTTAGACAATGTCTCTCCACTGTCAGGGACGCGTCCGGGGTCGAGAGGGCCCGGGGGTAATGCCCGGCACTGAGGCCATCGCGGGGTGTGGAGCGGGCATGCGTACTGGCGGGCCCGATCCGGGACAGTGGTCCCTGGCCACTCGGACTGAAGTGGAGAATGTGTTATTATTATTAAAGAGGAAAACTATACTACTTACCTGAAGTGGAGAATGTGAGAAGAAGGTTACTTCTTCGGTTCCCACTTCAGGTACATTTATGTACATGCGGCTTGAGTCACATGACAGGTGCCACATCATCCTCGGAGGCAGCCGCAGGCATCCGGGTGTCCCCGTGGGGGATCCCGAGAGCGTCCGCTACATGTGCGCGTGCTGGGCACAGTGGGAAGCCGTCCGGGGTGTGTGGGCCGGACGGGTCAATAGTACATCGATACAAGGGAAGGTGGTCCGTGTAGATAGAAAGAAATAAACAGGAAGAGGAGGATGAGAAGAATGAAATAAAGAAAGGGGAAAGAAAAGGGAAAAGAGGGGGGAGGAGAGGGAGGAAGGAGGGGGGAGGGGGATAGACAGCGGGGAGCGGGTGTGGTGTGGCCGGGTGGGCCCGGGTGGGCCCGGGTCAGGCGGGTGTGCCCTGACATCACCCCCTCCTTAAGCCGCTTCGCCTCGAAGCGGCCAGGGGGTTCGTTCTCTCCCTTCCTGGGGCATGGGGGTGTGTTTGGTGGAACTCCTCGATCTGGTCAGGGGCATGGATTAGTTGGTCTCAGGGGAGCCATTCATTCTCTGAGTTCGGCCAACCCGTGAACTTTACTAAATACCAGAGCTTCCGGCGTAACCACTTAGAGTCCAGTATTTTTTCCACTTCATATTCCTCCTCTCCATCTACGAGTTCTGGGCCTGGGCGGGGGTCAGGGGGTCGTTCTGCGATCTCGTCCGGGCGGTAGGGTCTTACGTTCGTCACAGATACGACTGGGTGAATTCCCTTTTGCCGTGCGGTGAGTTGGAGCTTGACGGCAGCCGGGGAGACGACCTTGACAACTTTGAAGGGGCCTAACCACTTATGGTCTAGCTTCTTGGTCAGGCGGTCAGTCGTATAGTTTTGGGCGCTGAGCCAGACTCGGTCACCTTCCTGGTACTTGGGGGCTGTCTCTCGACCTCGGTCGTAGTAGCGGGCCATCTCATCCGCTGCGTGTTCCAGGGCCGCCTTCGCCTCTTCCTGCATCTTCATCATCCTGGACGAGAAGGCGTCGGCGGCTTCTACCTCGGACGTACGTGTGGGCTCCGTCCCCATCCTGGGATGCTGCCCGGTGTCAAGCTCGAAGGGGGTTCGACGGGTGGACGAGTGGACGCGGTTGTTGTAGGCAAATTCTGCCAGTGGGAGCCAGTCCGCCCAGTCGTCCTGGCGGTGGTTGATGAACACCCGAAG